CGTGGGAAGATCTTCAGTTGAGGTAAGCTCCCCTGAGAGCACTGGCCATTTTCAACCAAGCAGGATCTGCTCTGCTGCGCTAACCTGGGCTCGTCGTAACCAGGTGTTGAGACCTTTCCTGCTCCTATGATGACTGGGTTTGGGGGTCCCCAAACTGTCACCTGCTCGCCCCCCACTAGGCTCTCAGAGGTCTTGCTTGTGCAATCAGTACTGATGAGGCTTGGAGAAGAACATGATTTATTGTACTCCGAGCTTTGGAGGAGTTCATCTGGACTGCATTTATATTAGACTCACTATTAGAAGAGAATAATTATTGAACTATTTTATTATACAGCTATTCCTAAACTTGTTGATTTTCGGGGTTTCCTTTTATTGATTTCAGGAGGCAGCTAATTGCCATATGGCAGCTTGATGTTAATGTTTTATGAAAGATCAGGAAACAAAAGTTTATGAAAAGCTTTTGTATAGTAACTGCAGAGTTTCAAGAACTGTTTTATACTTCCTGACAGTGCAGGTCTGGCTTAATGGTTTGTTTTTATTGCTTAAGAGTGTAAACCTTTCTTTAGCCGATGTGTGGAAATTATATCCTCATCCCGCATTACGCATTTCTCATTGCTCATTACTCATTCCCTGCTTTCATTTCTGCCATCTGTAATCAGAGCTTTACTGTTTCAACTGCATGCAAAATGCTCCTGTCCTTTGCACAGTGAGATACTTTTCCTTAGCACTCACCCACCCTTCTAAAAAAGAAAGGGGAGGGGGAAGGAAAAGGGGGGGAAATAAAAGAGGTGGGGGGAAGGAAAAGCCTACTCTGTCTATATTGTTTTTCTCTGTTTTGGGTGGAGTCTGTCTTAGATTCTGGTTGCTAGATGGGTTTCTGTAGTAACAAGCAGAGAAAAAAAATCCAAGGCTGAAAAAGCACTTTTAAAGGTGCCATATCTTGCCTGAAGTATTATTTATCTAATTATGGATATGGAATGTTTATCTTCTCCTTTATGTTAAGGCTACCCCTTTTGGTAGGGCAGGCTGCTGCTATGAGAACTCGATTTGTTGTGTTCTTACAACACGAGAACATGAGAACCGCGAATCTTGTTCCCAGTTGACTTAAGCTGCTGAAAATAATGATGAAAAGCCAAAGGCATTAAAATGTATTTTTAAAGACATTATAAATGGTTGTTATAGGCACAAACCACTTTGTTTTTTAGTTACATAGGAAAGAAAAAAGAAGCTATGTTCGGAAGGATTCTTGGATTTTACGTACTAGTACTGTAAGGGTGTTGGAGAAAAGTGTCAGTCTTTGTTTTGTTAGACTACTATGTACAAGGGAAAAAAACCCCAGCTCCTTCAGAATATAACCTTACTGTGCTGTACTCCACATCTCTTGTTTAATCCTCCTAAGAGATTTTGCAGGTGTGTGAGAAAGTAACCATATGTGTGTGTTCACTACACTTGCCTTGCTTGGGCACAAAAGGAATTCCAAACTTACTTTAAGATTACTTCTTTCCTGTCTCTCCAGTACTAATCCTTCATTACCTGTATTCCTCACAGCCTTGTCTGCAACAAGCAGTAATGGTTTCCCAAGGTGGAGTTTCCTCTCTTTTTGGAATCTAGTCACCTGTAAGTGCCCTCTGGAATTTAGCAACCTCCTGTCTGCACACCTTGTGCAATGGTC